ATAGTGTGTGTGTGTGTGTGTGTGTGTGTGTGTGTGTGTGTGTGTGTGTGTGTGTGTGTATAAATACATATATATGCACTCAGATGTGAGTGATCCTGCCATACCTCAATTAGCCAGTCTTTTGTGTCATCATTCGCTCGTTTATACCCATATCTTGGGGCATATTCCTGTGTAGTCTCGTCAATGACCATCTTGGATCGTTTAATCTTCTGGATGCCCTTAGTCTCCGCAAATTGTTCCCATTTGGTCTTTGGCTTTTCCTCAGGAATGACCTTCTCTCTGGGTAGGTTGAACTTTCCTTTTGGTAATTTGGCCAGATATACATCCTCTTTGGCGTGTGTAGGCAATTCCCATATAGCGTTAAATAGCAACTGTGTGTTGTCTCTGGTAAGGCTACGTATATACTCTTCCTTCTGTGCATTACGCTTCTCCGCTATTTTTAGATCAACTGGTGTTGAATCGTAACACATTAGGTATCCCAGATCCAGTTCGACCTCCTGGTCTTTCTGTACTAGTGTGGAGTTCTGGCTGTCTCGCTCTTTGGCCAGCATGGCACTTACATCTAATCCCACCATATTGGCTATATAGTCGTATATATTATATATTTGTATAGTCACTCAAATACTCGCTATAAGCGTGAAAACGATATCTATACGGATGCTACAGATACTAGTTTGTAGTTCTGTAATACAACTGATAGGTATAATAGACTTTACCTGTGCGTGGGCTGTTATCAGCTTCATTCGAAGCCCATCACTTTATGATACATTATCATCAACCCATGTGTTAATTTCATGAGAGCATTTTGCCGTAGCTGGTTTTCATATCATATAAACCTAGTTTTCCTATAAATCTTGCTTAGAAACTTTTTATCGTTTTTGTTTGTTTTTAAAAAAAACAATACAAATACAAAAAATGAGAGGGGGAACCGGGGAAGTCGGGGAACTGTCTTGTTGTGATGACTCACCGAGGCACCGTTGAGCTAACCACCATCCACAGATTCCACAGAGAGTACTAAATACAGTACTACTGTAAGTAAATAAATACTCCGACTCTCTCACAGGTCACAGACTCGCAGTATGTACAGTATGTAAATAGCGGAAATTTCAAATTTCAAATTTCAAATCAAGAAGTGAGTCTGTGGAAGTGAATCTGTGGAAGTGAGTCTGTGGAAGTGAGTCTGTGGAAGTGAGTCTGTGGAAGTGAGTCTGTGGAAGTGAGTCTGTGGAAGTGAGTCTGTGGAAGTGAGTCTGTGGAAGTGAGTCTGTGGAAGTGAGTCTGTGGAAGTGAGTCTGTGGAAGTGAGTCTGTGGAAGTGAATCTGTGGAAGTGAGTCTGTGGAAGTGAGTCTGTGGAAGTGAGTCTGTGGAAGTGAGTCTGTGGAAGTGAGTCTGTGGAAGTGAGTCTGTGGAAGTGAGTCTGTGGACTGTGGACTGTGTGGTGGACACTGGACTCAGCTGAGTCAGGTCAGACCGACGGAGTCAGTGACTCAAGAGAGAGGTACTATTTATTTACATATAGATTACAGTAAATCAGTACATAAGTAGTCAGTACTCGGTAGTTGTAAAATATTTAAAAATAAATGCATGATTACTCCACACCTCATATCATTGGAGCACAAATACTACGCCTGCCAATAGAAACGATTGAAACAGGAACCTTCATCACTTATGACTTCATAGAGAGTGAAAGTACTGAAGGCCTGAAGCAGAAGCCAGAAAGGCCTCTTCTTCTCTTGTCTTGTGTTTGTTGACTGTTGACTGTTGACTGTTAGTGTCGACAATAGATTGCAGAATGATGATAGATCGTAAAGATGTGTCATCAACTGCAGGTACACTAGCCCTCCTGCATGACGTGTTGTCCGAATGTTCTTAGTGTAGAACTGTAAATCGTC